AATTTTAAACATGTTAAACTAGTAAAAAAGCTAAAATTGTCAAAATTATTCATAATTTTTATTCAACCAGAATCAATATCCAAATTCAATTCAATATTTTATCAATTCAACCAGAATCAAATCCAAATCATAATTTTTACTCAACCAGAATGGATTCAAATATGTATTGGTAAACATTTAGCTATTTCTTATACATTAATGGACCAATCGAGGCATTAAGTAGTGCTTCCGTAAGATTGTTTTTCTCATATGATCACTGCAGGAATCCATCCGATGATGAATGCTGCTAATCGAAAACGTTAAGATCATTGAGAATGTCGTTTGTCTTCTCGAAGATCTCCGCTAATCTGGAACAGGAACACTTCCCAACTAACAATTTCTGCTTTGTAAGCCAACTTTTGCAGCGTTGTGCTGTAAAGTAGCTGAAAAAAAGCTGCAGATACAGCTACAAGCAGAAGCTAGCAAAATTGTTTTGTAGAGCGTTTACTCAACTTTTTCACAACCATTATTCAATTTACCAATCTCACTGAATAACAACAGCCAATAAACGCTACCCAACAAACATTGAATGTAGAATAAGAGCTTATTCAGGCAACAATAAGCTTTTTCAGCTAAAAAATTGCTTATTCAGCTGTTAATCAAGTCAAATTGTTTGTTGGGTAATGTCACTTTTATGCACATCCTAATCAACTTTCAACTTGTAGCTGCAAAACAAAGCTAATAAAGTGAATATATTACTCATTTGGTGGCTTCTACACAACCAACCACTCTTGCTGAATAACATAAACATCAAAAGTGGTTTTTTCAACAACTAAACAACCTGTACTCAGCTAATCAACTGTGTTAGCGCTACTTTGGACGCATTTTTACAGTCAGCTAGGATTATTTTTAGACGTGTGCAGTTTTACAGCTTTTACTCTGCTCCTTTACAAAGGTGAAGTAACTAGTCGAGAAAAGTGAGTCATGTGCACTATTATAAAGCCTCTACTCAGCGATCTTGTTGTAGAAGGGCATGTTGATTTTTTTACATCAGTTCAAAGTGTTGCCAATGCGGTCGTCTCGAATTCGATTCCAGATTTCCGGTGCAGGGTAAATAATTTGGTGGTGTTGCTTGTAACTAATTTGGATTAATTTGATTTATAGCATAATATAAAGTCAATAAATTCCTTCATTAAAAAATAGCGTAGATAATATATAACCCGGCTTCAAGACAAAGCTGTGTAGTGATTATTGGATAACCGGGAAAAGGTTGAATAAGCGCCGTTCAAGTCTACACACAACTAAACAGCAGGATAACAGCTGCATAGAAGCGTTAATGGATATGCAATAAGAGCTTGTCCCAACCGTCCCAACAGCCATAAGTAGCTGATTAAGTTCGCCAGATTTGCTTGTATAGAGGTTGAATAAAGGTTTCTTCGTATCGTATAACATTTGAATACAGCTTGAGGCTGTATAAATTAAATGAGTAAAGCGTTTGCATTGCGAAAATTGTTAATTGGGTTGTTAGTCTTTTCCTTACCTCGTAACAATCGGAACTGCCGTCCAAAGTACTATTTCACAGTGTTCGTTTTTAGCCTTAATGAACACCGGCCGAAAGGAATTCACTGGCTCAAGCACATCTACACGGATAGAAATCTCCTTATACCTTTTGGCAAATTTCTATTGCTGATTATTCATAAAATGTATAAGTCAACTAATAAGCAGACGCTTTGCAAAAAGTTAATGAAGATCATGTGTCCAATGAAATGTGTAAGCGATCACACATACCTTTTATGCATTATTATAGGACCTATGTGGTTTGTCTTATGGAATGTAAAAGGCTGTTGTTTTGGCAAAAATGTATAAGTGAAACAATGAATAAAATAAATGATTTTCGTTTCGTGTACGTTGTGTGATCTTTTAATTGCAGCACTTGTCGGAACACTTTTACCGAGAATTTCGACCGATTCGCAAGAATGGCAAGACATTTCGCAATCTGAATACTCCGTGCTTTTATGTTTTCAGTTCGTCAAGACTGTTGACAATTACTATTATTTATACTCATTTTTCTGTCTTTAGATATTTTCAAAAATGAAGAAAAAGTACCCTTTTTATCATCATGAAAAACCCCTTTTTTGACAGTTTAGAACAAATATAAAAATCAGTACAAGATACTCATTAAATGCGTACTTTCGAGTAAGCGTGTATCGAATTACGCTTTGACACCCGAAATGGTACAGAGAACTCATTTACCATCTAATGAACATTTCGGTGAGTGAACTGTTTGAGAACGCTTCATGCGTACAATCTAAACAAGCGGTTATTTGATGGGGTTTAAAACATTTCAATTCATCAACTTTTTTATATTTTGATTTGTGTAATACATGGCAGCTGTCACAAAAGTAATCTGCATGGAAGTCGATTTGGAGAAACTTTCTTCTGCCGCAAAAAAGAGGGGAATCGCTTGATCTCCCTTCTGATGAAATTCAATTGAACAATCAATTTGAAATGCTTACGGATGATGAGACTGATCCATCAACCAGGAAAAATTCCATTAAACATTCCCGGCGTAATGCCAAGAAGGAAAAGATTCCATAACCGTTTCAGATTTCCATGCTCTTTGCACGGAACTTTTGAACTTCGTCAAATTTAAGTTTTCACTTCAAATTGGCCATTGGGGTGAATTTCGTGTATTGGCTCAAACCAAGGTGACTAAATATAGGTGTTCTAATGTGTCAAATTCATGATTCAGCCATGTTGGATTTTCGTATGGGACAGCGACCGAGTTTGTTTACAATTTGTTCTAAAACCGCACTTTTTCCCCCCGCGACCTCCTCGCCTTTTTAGTGACAAAGCTGTATCACCATTCATATACCCACCATGGCTCAAACCTTGGACGGATTCAAACGTCTCACACTTACGACAGCAACACTGAACGTCTGTTCAAGGTTGTCTTGAAAAGTCTGCCGAGTGGTGAATCCCTGGTCAGATCAAAGATGAATTGAGAAAATTACTTGGAGTTGAGCCTGTCCAAGTAATCAAAAGCCGGCGCCGATGGTCAACGATGCCAGATATACAGACTTTTGTACACGATAAAGGTGGACACTATCTTTTTTGAACCCTTATAACTTTAATTATAATAACGATTTTTCTAATCTCATTAGATATAAAAATAGTTACAAATATTAAATAGTTATTGCATTGTGAAGTAATGAAATTGGGTTGTTAGCGGAATGCTAAATAAAACAGCAAAAAAGGTTATCTTCCATTTAATTCCACTTAATTAATTTTGGTATCCATGACAGATACGTATTTCGACTACAATGTGCAGTCTTCATCAGTGTCATTCCCACTAAAGAACTTATCAAAATCTAACCCCCTTAAGTACTCATCCCCTGGTAAAAAAAAAAACCTATGACCTATGAACCTATGATCTTGACTTTTTTTTACCTAGGGGATGAGTACTTAAGGGGGTTAGATTTTGATAAGTTCTTTAGTGGGAATGACACTGATGAAGACTGCACATTGTAGTCGAAATACGTATCTGTCATGGATACCAAAATTAATTAAGTGGAATTAAATGGAAGATAACCTTTTTTGCTGTTTTAGTTATTGCATTAATTCTAGCTTCAGGAAATACTTCATTTGATATTTTTTGGATACAATTAAAAAAGGGCGTGTGTTTCGTGTAGTGGTAAGCGTGACTGCTTTCCCCATGAGTTTGGGTTCAATCCCAGCCGAGGTCGGTGGGATTTTTCTGAGGCATAAAAATCTCTGGTCACGTCTTCCTTCGGAAGGGAAGTAAAGCTGTTGGTCCCGGCCCATGTATGTTGAATGGGTGCAATATCTTACGCAGGTGTGGAAGCTGCCTTCCTGCACATTCAATTTCCGTCAATGGATGGCAACTAGATTGCGGTACAGAGACCGACTTAAACAAAGGAAAGAAGAAGAAAAAGAAGAAGTAATCAAAATGAATATGAAATCTAATTTCTAATGATTTTTATTTAGTTCACTTCAAGTCTAGTTAACTAAACAAACTAAAGTTTTAGAAAAAGCTAGCTTTATGCTCCATTTCCATGTCCGAGACTTTCGAACATATGTCCAACAAAATGCTTAATAATTTCAGGCAAAAATCGTTGCAATCCTCAATTGACTAGTTTTAATTTCCACCTGTATTGAGGTCGAGGAATTGCCTTTCGCCTTCTGCCTAACCACCACCGTATGCAAAAGAGCCGTTTGCTTTCTAGAGAGAACCGCTCCCTGCTCCGGAAATGTCTATCTCCTCGACGAGTCTAATCGACTCCAGTGTCAAATATCAAACCAGGAGCTGCCCCCGGTTGCTTTACTGCAGTGGAACGGGACTAGAAATTGGGCCGCTCCACAAGTGCGCTACGACAAAAACATTAAAAACAGATTTCGGGCAGGAGACAACTCGTCAGCTCTCAGAAACACCGTTGTTAAACTACAAAACATAAAATACGCTAACCATACGATCCGTTTCACCGATGTCTCTAAGGCACAAGCGCGAGTAGGTACAAGCATGACTGAAGGAATTTCATTCCAGCACTACCGTCTTCCGGATATTTGCTCGGTTTTTTCCGCTGCGGCCGCAGCTATTATCCTAGCAACGTCTAGTCCATCCACCGGTCCAGTAGTAATTTTTCCCACTCCGCCAGCTTTCTATCAGCTATATGCAGCCCGACCGTAAGGCATCCCTGGATTCAAGAGATTCAGAACAGAATCAATAACAACATCGTACTCGTTTGGATTCCGGGACACTGTGGAGTTGCAGGTAACGAAACGGCAGACCTATTCGCCGCGTAAATATAACGATAATGTCGGCAAGATATCTTTAAAAAATCTTTCTTATCAAGAATACTTGAGAACTTCAGTCCTGCATGTCATTCATTCCTTGCACTTAGTTCTTTTTCTTATGATTTCTTTCCTATTCATCTATGAAATGTGGCTCTGCTTCGATTACTTTACAATTATTTATCCATCAACAGATGTTTTAGAAAATATACAGAGCAGTTTTAACGTACGTTAACCTTTCAAGGCAACTGAAAAATTTTAGCCGTAGAATCCTCCGACGTTGTCAGCAGCACGTTCTTCTGTTTGTCATAGGCAATGTCCTGAATATCGTTCCTATGTCCTAGCAACTCGTACTTCAAAGAACCACTTCGCAGATCCCACACTTTGATAACCCCACCGAGCGTTCCAGCGATCAGGGAACAGTCCTTACCCCAAAGGAGCCTAAAACAAAATTAGAAAAGCAAATTAAACAAACCATTTTAATTCATTTCACAACTGAATACGAACTTTGTAATTCCTGTCATATGGGGATCCTCGCATTCAACTCGAGCGGTTTGCCTGGCCACATCCCAGATAGTAACCTTCCCGGTTAACGTTCCAGTGGCCGCCACTTTCAATTCGAATTCTGGATTATCAATTAGCACTGCTTCCACGGGACCACCATTCGGCAACATAACTCCAACTGGACCCGAAGGACCCATCACAACAACCTTGCCTTCCTCGCTTCCGGTCACAATCTGTTGACTGTCCCGATCGATTGACAAGCACGTAATGTTACTGGTGTGGGTCGTGGCCTCATTTGGAGCAACATCCAGCGTCGGAGCGTTCGTTTTGATATCCCAAATTTTAAAAGCTCCATTCCCATAACCCGCTGCGATTTTCTTTCCATCATGTGACAGGCTCGCCACTTCACACTTCTCACCGAAACCCTGCAGCACCTTGCAATCGCCGGAAGGTATCCTCCATACATATATCTCCCCCGTGTCAGCTCCCGCCATGAGAACGTGCGCTCCAAAGTGCCACTTCATCCAGCACATGTCGCCCATCGAAAATTCCCACACCTTCTTATACTCCTGAGTGGTTTTGAAAACCTGGATCTGTCCGGCCATATCGCCAGTAGCAACATACAGTCCATCGTAGCTGAACTCACAAGCAATGACCGAATCGGAGTGTCCTGTTGCTTCGAAAACGCTCTCCCCAGTTTTCGTGTTCCACACGTATGCCTTATCGTCTTCTCCTCCGGTCACGGCAAGATATTCATTAGGATGCAGGGCACCACAAAACACCGGCCCGGTATGTTTGGAAAACGTAACCAGCGCATCGTCCCGCTCGGGAATGTACACGTCGTCAAATTCCTCCTCGTCATCAGCAAAACCAGCTACTTCGTCCTCTTCGACTAATTCGGCATCGTCCTCTTCGTCTGTAAGTAATTCCGGAGCATGGTAAAATTAGTCCCATCAATTTATGAATGAATCATCTAGGTAAACAAACTTACCATTCAATTCTTCCTCCCATTGGTTCAGCACTTCATCGGCGTCCCCGACATAGATCAGCTCATCGTCCTCGTCAAACGCCGGTCTCGGAGGAGTATTTTCCTTCATTTTATCCGTGTAGTTCAAAAAATGCAATATTACTTCTAATTTTGATTTTACTAGTCCACAATCAAAACAAAATAGCAGCGGCCAACGTGAAAACGCACGGGCAGACCGACCAACAAACAACCAGCAGCAACAACGTGCTCATGTTTTGACAGCAGCGACCGTTATTCACCTTCGGCTTTGCTTCGGAGAATTTCATTCATAAACAAGTGATGCCGTTATGCTGAGCCGGCGGAGATGGCGGAATTATTCACCACACGTAACGCTAAAGTAAGGTAAAGTGGGAGATTATAATGTTAGCGGTATTGGCGTTGACGGCACCGTCGAAAAATTTGCTCTTCCAGCAAATTTAGACAGTTTCTCATGGGAATTTTCGGTGGAGTGAAAGGATAGTACAAAGTCCGCCATGTTTCACGCACAGTCTGACGTTTGCTTACGGATTTTCTCATAGGAGTAAAGAGCTGCAGAGTCGCCGACAATGCTAATTCACAGAGCGCATCGTAAACGTATACATCCTCGTAAATGCATAAACTTCCATTGCACTCCAATGGACCCTGGTATTTTTACGATAGTGTATATGTTTACGATGCGCATAGTGAATACCCCTACTATCGGTTCAGTTGAAAACTGGAAAACTCCACACTTGACGATCGATTGTAACCGGCACCGGTGGTGTACTGATAAGCGTGACTGCTTTCTTACCCTTATAGGTCTGGGTTCAATCCCAGCCGAGCTGAGACACAAAAATATCTTTGCGGGTCGATCGATTTTATTTTGCAAGCCAAACTGCTTGATTTTTTTTTTTCAAGTTTAAAACCGTTTTGCCCTTTCTGAGTTGATTCTCGCTATAAGCTCTGAGCCAGGAGTGCTCGAGCCCCCATGATTCTATCAAAGTTTGATTACATACATGTTTCGCCAAAGTATGTTTAACTGCAATCGATCAATTTAGAAGGTCATGTTTTGAACCCATCCCAGCATGCTTTTGGCGCTACTGTATATGGACGATCAAATGTAAAATACTATGGTAGCCACAGCATACTTCTGTCAAAACCTCAGCATTTTCATTGATCCATTGAAAACTCACCTGAGTCATAAAAACTAAGCTGGTTTATATACTTTCATCACTTGGTTTTTGTAGTTCATCACTCCTCCTCAGCGGTGGCCCCTCGACTGCCGTGAAGACCGATTAGAGTTGCGAAGCCGTTGTGCTTCACATTCCCCAAATGGTTTGGTGAACACGTCTGCCCGCATTACATCGCTCGGGCAGTACTGAAGCTTGACTTCTCCTCTCTCGCAAAGGTCACGTATGAAGAACTCCTTCGTGTTGATGTGTTTGGACCTTCGGCTGTTCTTTTCGAATTGCACGAAGGCCAGACATCCTTGATTATCTTCGTGTACTGTGGTGGCCTTGTCTTGTTTCTCGCCTAAGTCCTCGAGCAATCGCCGTAACCACAGAACTTCTTGGCACGTCTCTCCTAGTGCCACGTACTCTGCCTCCATGGACGAGAGGCTCACGCAGTCCTGACGCCGGCTCGCCCAGGAGACGGCTCCTCCTGCGAAGAAGACAACGAAACCAGTCGTCGACTTTCGCGTTCCTGGATCTCCTGCCCAGTCAGAGTCCAAATAAGCTTCAAGGTCACCAATCAGCTGTCCACTTCAGATAGCGGAGCACCCGCTTTGCTGCTGTCCAGTCTCTTTCAGTCGGACCGCTGAATTTTCGTCCTAAAATTGCAGCACTGGCGGCAATATCTGGCCGCACGCAAACAGCGACGTACATCACGAGACTACGGTACATGGTGATGTCCTTCATCGCTTCACTCTGGCTGGTGTCTTTGAGGTATCCTTGATCCATAGGATTTCACGCCACTTTGGCATTCTCCATGCCAAAGTCCGAGATCAATTTCTTGACGTACGACTGAATACTTAAGCTGTATTCTCCTTCCACGTCCTTCGTAACCTCTAAGCCCAAAAAATGCTTGACTTCACCAAGACAGTAGATATCTAAGTGTTTCTTAAACTGATTGCATACTAGAGTTAGCTCCTCCTCGTTAGCGCAACTGACTAAGATGTCATCAACATAGACAATCAGATAAACGGTAGATCCATTTCTCATAGCAGTATACAGGCACGGATCGACGGAGCTGGCTACGAAACCTGTTCCCTTCAGAACTTCGGACAATTTCTTGTTCCAACACCTCGCTGACTGGTGGAGGCCGTAAATACTCCGACGTAAACGGCATACCTTCTCCTCCTGTTCGCGGACCACGTAGCCAGGCGGCTGGCGCATATAAGGCTCTTCACTGATAAAACCGTACAAGTGCGTTGTACGGACGTCCAGGTGCTTAAGAATCATCTTATTCCTGCCTGCTAGGGCAAACAGTGTCCTCAAAGTGGTGTGACGGATCGCCGGAGCAAACACTTCACTGAAGTCCACTCCGAAACGCTGCGTATGTCCTTGTGCCACGACTCGCGCCTTGAATCGTACCACTTGTCCAGACTCGTTCACCTTTACCTTATATACCCAGCGACTCCCGTTCACCTTCTTCCCGGGTGGTAGTTGTACCAACCGCCCAGGTACCGTTGTCTTTATGTGACGACATTTCATCATCCATTGCTTCTTTCCACAAATCACGCTCCGGACACTTCATCGCTTCGTTGTATGTTGCTGGCTCCGTTAACGCATGAGTGGCAACTCCTACCTCAAAATCGTTGTATCTGTCAGGTAACATGTTATGGGTTTTACGGACACCTTGGCTACTCGATTCGCCCTGATGGTCTCCTTCGGGCTCTTGTTTCATCCTGAGAAGGAGTGGAGCTCAAATCGAAGAACTGCTCGCATTCGCTTTGATCCATGGGGTCGTGGAATGCTTCATCCTCGCTCTCAGCATCGCAATCGTCCATCATATCCGGCACCGGCTCGGCCACCGATTGCCGATCACGTCCACCATCCTTACCAGCAAGCTACTCTACCCCATCAGTCATTGAATCAGTTTCCAACTCACCCTGAGGCAAACTGTCAAACCCTGAGGCAAACTGTCAAACCTAAGCTTGCACCTGAGAAACCGCAGACGAAGACGTACGATGACATTGTGGGCGTGTTGGAGACTCATTTCAATCCAGAGCCACTGGAAATTCTCGAAAATTTCCGCTACAAATGCCGGAAGCAGCGAGACGATCGTTCAGAGGAAACCATCGATGAGTACCTGATAGCTTTTCGCAAGCTGGCTATCACCTGCAACTTGGGGGACTATCTGCATACAGCCCTGAGGAACCAGCTAGTTTTCGGATTGAAGGACCGGGTGATACAGTCCCGACTACTGGAAGTGCGGAACCGTGCGTGGAGCGTGCAAGAGAAATTGCAGTGTCACTGGAGCTTTCGTCCAAAGGCGGACGCGAAATCCAGTCGCGACAGGGGAAGCCGGAAGTCAATCTGGTGGAACAATGGAGGAAACACGCAGCGAAAACGAAGGTAACAAGTGCAAATTACGATAATAAAAATAAAATGAAGTTGGGTTCGGGAAAGAAAGGAGAATGCTACCGTTGCAGTAGTGCATCGCACTTTGCGAACAAATGCCCTCATATTCGCACAGTGTGCAACTATTGCAAAATGACAGGGCACTTGCAAAAGGTGTGCTTGAAGGCGAAGAAGGAGAAAGGTGGTAAATCAGAAGCTCATTTGCTGGAGGAGGCTGCAGGTGGTACCAGTAGGAAGGAAAGTGAATTGGAGACATTGGAGGAAATTTGCAAGCTCGAGCAGCGGTACAAGCCGTCGACTACCAAGTTTTATTTGGAAGTGATGGTGAATTGTGTTGCTATCCGTTTCGAGGTGGACACCGGGGCTCCAGTCACAATCATCAGTGCAGAGGATAAGAAGAAATACTTTTCGGCGGAGAATCTGCTGCCTTCGGATCTTGAGCTGGTGAGCTACTGCAACAATCGAATCAACGTCGAGGGGATGCTGAAAGTCACTGTGGAGTACCGTTCGAAATCATTTGATCTACCATTGTACGTGTCGAATGTCCGGAAGCATCCATTGCTGGGACGCCAGTGGATTACAGGGATGCAGATTGATTTGAACGACATAGCGCATTCAGATGTGCATGTGCTGGACAGTTCTGCTGCTGTGCTGAAGTATACTCCTGCTACTGTTAGAACGCTGGTTGGAAAGTATGCTAATGTGTACGACGAGTCGATTGGAAGAATCAACGGTTTTCAAGCGAAGCTATGCCTCAAATCGAATGCGAAACCAGTGTACGTGAAAGCGCGTCCAGTCCCATTTTCTATGCGAGAAGCTGTCGAAAAGGAGCTCAATACTTTGGTCGAAACTGGAGTCCTGGAGAAGGTGAACCACAGTGCGTGGGCGACACCAATTGTTCCGATAATGAAATCTAACAATAGAGTGAGGCTATGCGGCGACTTCAAGGTTACGGTTAATCCGAATCTGGAGATTGATGATCACCCGTTGCCGACGGTGGAAGAGCTTTTCGCCACTGTAGCTGGTGGAGAAAAGTTTACCAAAATTGATCTGACTCAAGCCTACCTGCAACTGGGGTTGAAGAGGGTGATCGTGAGATACTAACTCTAAACACCCATAAGGGTTTGTACCGGCCTACACGTTTAATGTATGGCATTGCGTCTGCGCCTGCCATCTGGCAGAGGTTCATGGAACAGGTGTTGAATGGTATCCCGGGCGTGACTGTTTTCTTGGATAATATGCGTATAACAGGGCCAAACGACAACATCCATCTACAGAGGTTGGAAGAGGTTTTGGTTTGACGCCTTAACTCGTACAACATGAGGATCAACTTGGACAAATGCCAGTTCTTCGCAAACGAAATTGAGTACTGTGGCTACCTGATCAACAAGGATGGTATTCACAAAATGCAGAAAAAGATTGATGCTGTCCATAATTTGCCCATACCAGAAAATAAGGACCATGTTCGTTCTTTCGTAGGACTAGTCAATTACTACGGAAGGTTCTTTCAAAATCTAAGCACGACCTTGTACCCTCTCAATAATCTCTTGAAGAATTCTGTTCCTTTCATGTGGTCCAAGGAATGTGCCGAGGCGTTCAGCAAGATATGCAGTCTGAAGAATTCCTG